CCATCGACGACGTCTACACGGGGATGTGTCTGAGCCTATTTGGGCCTGGCCCCCGAGAAGCACAACGGCTTCAAGACCTTCGACATCGAGGAGAAGTACCGGTCCAACCCCTGCATGTACCGCAGCCTGATGCTGGTCCACAGCCAGACGCCTCAGGAGATGATGAGGATCTGGTCCTGGATCACCAGTCCGGAGCTGGACTGCCAGTGAGTCCACGGAGGGGCTCCGAGTTATTGTTTTAAAGTCATCGATGTATTTATTTAACAGTGTTTTCAGGTTTTTAAGAAGGCATCTGATGAACGTTTTCCCTCGCTGATTCTTGACTTAATTGTGTTAGTTGTGCTCTCATTTTGTGTGTTTATAATTTGGACCTTGTCGTGTCTGAGGAGCTGGATCAAAGTGATCTCAGCGTGCTGGATTATGAGGTTGATCTGGATCCGAAGCAAACGATGGTGCGTGCAGGATGTTCCCGTCATTGAGAGATAGAGATGGTAAAGAATAATGTGATCATTTATCTACATGTCCACAAAAAAATCACCTACAGAATGGTTCTCCTCTCTTTCTCTTTATATTTTATTGCAATTAGCTATAAAAAAACAGAAAGAAACTAAAAACACCAGTAACTGTGGCGTTGTACTTGTACTACTTCAGTACCACAAGTACTCTGAACCGGTTGGTACTTTTTCAGGAATTCATTTGTTTGTATATAGTATAAATACATTGTATATTTAATATGCATGTTTAAGCAATTCATTGAGTTTGGTTTAAATGACATAGATTCAAGTCGTTTTTTCTATTGTTTGTTCAAATTGTTTTGGTTTAATCTTTTCCAGTTTGTGAAATATGGATTAAAAAAATCTCATATTTTTGTGTTTTTTTTTTATTTTATAAATCCGATTTAAATAGATGAAATACTATTTATTATTTAAATGCATTTTAGGTACAAATGTGGGTAAGCATTCGCTTTACATTATTCCTATTAATCAATTAATAAAATACAACTTGTAATGTATCTGATGATTCTTTATTATGACCACAACAACAGTAGTTGTGCTTTTCCTCGCTGCACGTATGTCGCAACGTGGAACCTCTGCATGACGACATCGACCTCTGCGTGATTCAAGGATGCAGCGAAAAGAAACGCAATCAGCTCGCTGACGAGTTTCAGCTGCTCGCACAGGGAAGCTTAACTGAAGCCGTGAGGCCCGACGAGTCCTCCCCTTTCACGCGTTTAACAAGGTAAACGGGAAAAGTTCTGGTAGGAAAATGCCACAAGAGAACAGCTTTAGTTTAAAAAGTGTGCCGCTCATATTTCTGCTGGTATTTGGTTTGTTTTGGAATCGGAGTGAGTCTCAGGTGAGTCGGAAAGCAGCTCGGTGAGCTCGTCTGCTGCTGAGACGGTGTGCGTTTAACTGTGTGTGTGTGTGTGTGTGTGTGTGTGTGTGTGTGTGTGTGTGTGTGCGCGTGTGTGCGTTGCTTTGTGCTCCAGGTGAACAGAGAAGAAGCCAACAAGCCTCAAGGTGAGAAAGAGATTTTTAGGAGGAAAAATAAACAGACTCTGCAGACAATGGGGACGTTAATAAAGTTACATTTTGAGAAAAATATTGATTAAAGTTAAGGTGCCGGTCCCTTTTCTAAATGTTGAATGTGTGATATCGGGACACATTCAGGCTCAATGATCACAAAGGCTCTTTGTCAACACGAGGCCTCTTCATGAGATAGTGTGTGTGTGTGTGTGTGTGTGTGTGTGTATATATGTATATATATATATATATATATATATATATATATATATGTGTATATGTATATATAGAAAAAAAATCTCCGAGACCAAATGTTTTCATACCTTTTTTTTAAAATAAATCTATATTGACTTTTCCAAAAGTCCCTTCGAGTAGATTTTCATAGGAAGGGAATCCAGGTCATTTTAGGATCCGGTTATTGGTGATCTGGCGCTCTGGGTTGTTGGTGATCTGGGTTGTTGGTGATCTGGTGCTCTGGGTTGTTGGTGATCTGGGTTGTTGGTGATCTGGTGCTCTGGGTTGTTGGCGATCTGGGTTGTTGGTGATCTGGCGATCTGGGTTGTTGGCGATCTGGGTTGTTGGTGATCTGGCGATCTGGGTTGTTGGCGATCTGGGTTGTTGGCGATCTGGCGATCTGGGTGTTGGTGATCTGGGTTGTTGGTGATCTGGTGCTCTGGGTTGTTGGCGATCTGGGTTGTTGGCGATCTGGGTTGTTGGCGCTCTGGGTTGTTGGTGATCTGGGTTGTGGGTTGTTGGTGCTCTGGGTTGTTGGCGATCTGGGTTGTTGGTGATCTGGCGATCTGGGTTGTTGGCGATCTGGGTTGTTGGTGATCTGGTGCTCTGGGTTGTTGGTGATCTGGGTTGTTGGTGATCTGGTGCTCTGGGTTGTTGGCGATCTGGGTTGTTGGTGATCTGGCGATCTGGGTTGTTGGCGATCTGGGTTGTTGGTGATCTGGCGATCTGGGTTGTTGGCGATCTGGGTTGTTGGCGATCTGGCGATCTGGGTTGTTGGTGATCTGGGTTGTTGGTGATCTGGTGCTCTGGGTTGTTGGCGATCTGGGTTGTTGGCGATCTGGGTTGTTGGCGATCTGGGTTGTTGGCGCTCTGGGTTGTGGTTGTTGGTGCTCTGGGTTGTTGGCGATCTGGGTTGTTGGTGATCTGGCGATCTGGGTTGTTGGCGATCTGGGTTGTTGGTGATCTGGCGATCTGGGTTGTTGGTGATCTGGGTTGTTGGTGATCTGGTGCTCTGGGTTGTTGGCGATCTGGGTTGTTGGCGATCTGGGTTGTTGGCGCTCTGGGTTGTTGGTGATCTGGCGATCTGGGTTGTTGGTGATCTGGCGATCTGGGTTGTTGGCGATCTGGGTTGTTGGTGATCTGGTGAGCTGAGATGAGCTGGTTTCCTCCTCAGATGGACGGCGAGACGGCAGCGCCTTCTTCGCCATGCGGAGCTGCCAGCAGCTGCTGCAGGGCGACGCCGGCGAGTTCTTCTCCCCGGACTACCTCTGCTCCAACCCGCCCCTGTGGTGCAACTGGACCATTCGGGTGGAGCCCGGCAAGAGAATCCACCTCCACCTGGAGGACCTGACCAGCAGCGACGGCTGCTCCCTCAAGGAGGACCAGATCCACGTGGAGGAGCCCGCCGACGGGTTCAGAGGTCACGCGGTCCTGCAGCAGTGCTGGCGGGAGGCCAAGTACACCTCCAGCGGCAACACCCTGTACGTGGTGCTGCTGATTGGCGGCTGGCCCAGCCCGCCCTACAGGGGCTTCCACGGCCGCTACCAGGCCTTCGGACCCCCGGTGGTTTTCGACCCGCGGCAGGGGTCCAAGGCGGATCCGCCCCGCAGGCCGGTGGACTTTGGCGACATCGTGATGGAGGGCGAACGGGTGGAGTCTGATGTGCCGGAGCCTCGCGATGGCGTTTACGATTATCACGGCCAAGCTACGACTGCGGAGGCCGGGCTGGAGACCGAGGTGAGAACCGATGACCGCGGCCCCCCGAACTGCCTCCGACGTTTGCGCCAATTGATTTCCGTCCTCTCCGCTTAGTGGGGTGAAAACCAACCTCCTGAGGTGGAAATCTACAGCCACATCTACCCGTCCACGGTGCCGGCGTTCACGCAGGGGACCTCTCGGTCCGAGAGGGGGGCCGCTCCGACGACTTCGGCGCCGCCCGACAGAACGACAACCACACAGGTGGGCGTGCAGGAGGAAGCCGCGGGTCCAGAGGAGGAGCGGTCTGCAGAAGGGAAGGACTGGAAGGAGGCCTCGGACCGGCTCCCCGCCGCCGCCGCCGCGTCCTCCGAAGAAGAACCGGGGGAGGGGAGGGGCCTGACCGATCCTCCGCCCAACGTGGTGGAGCCCCCGTCGGACCACCGGGGGAACCGTGAGTGAATTCGTGTTTTTAGATCTTTTAGGATGTTGAATATCTACGTGGATCCACACTGGGCCAAAAGATGGAGGTTCAAAAAGTTGATGAACCAGAAGTTTGTATCAACCTTTAATACAATACGTAAACTTATCGACATTATGGTCAGTCGACCAAGCTCCTCTCCCGCCTGGTTTTTGTCTGATACTAGTTTCCTGTTTTATTCTACACCAACACGGTTTGCATCTCCCCTCAGTTCACCTGTTCGAGGTGGCTCTTGAGGTGAACTTCAGACAGGACTCTGAGACGTCCTTGGTCAACCCGTCCGGGTCGCTGCTGCTGTCGGTAAAGTCTTTGGTACGTTGGTGAGAATTGGTGGAGACGGGATTCTCTGAGGCCTGAGGACCCCGTGACGTTGTTGTTGTTGTGTCTCTGCAGGTCGGCGAGCGGCTGAAGGCTCTGGGAACGCCGCTGTCCATGTCGTCGAAAAGAATAAAAAGGTTGGTACACGGCGACGCTGCTGTTCGACAAGGTCGCAGAGAGTCGGACCCCGGAAGTCGAGCAACTCCCCTCGCACGCCGTTTAATCTCCCTTCCCTTGCATCCTCTTTGGACCTCAAACATGTGACTAGAGGTGCAAGAAAAGAGGAATCCGTGCGGTTGGTTCCCGCCGACGTGTGAGCGCCGTGCTCTTGAGCGTGATGCATCCCGCTTGTGTGCTGGCAGGCTGAGCAAGGGACTGCTGTACATCCTCTGGCTGCAGATCGGACAGAAGCCCGGGGCGGCTCAGGTCCGGGGGGTCGTGCGCTCCCGCCTGGAGGGCCTCGTCGCCACGGAGATCGACCTGGGGGAAAGCCACGCGCCGGGCGTCCTCGCGTCCGTGTCCATCGCAGGTAACCGCGCCGAGCGAGTCGCCATTGGGGAAACTGGGCGACGATGTTTTAAAAATACACCGCCGCACGTGTGGCGGAGCGACTGTTACGCTAGAATATTAACGTCGCTGTGACGTCACTCGTTGGTTTTCTGGCTGCTGTTTTTGAAGCATCGTTCTCAGGGGTTGTTGTTTTTTTTTTTTGTTTTTTGCAGCCAGAGAAAGGAAGTGACCTCACACGTGTTGGCCCCGCCCTAAAGTATGCGCGTGGTTCTGTGTGTGTGTGTGTGTGTGTGCTCAGATGTGAACGAGTGTGACACTCAGCTGGTGCTGTGCGACGCCAACGCCGACTGCGTGGACCAGTTCGGTTCGCACTCGTGCCGCTGCAGGCCGGGCTTCCAGGACAAGACCCGCCAGGGGTCGGGGGGGACCGTCGACGCGAAGGCCGCAGGTTAAGTCAATCGCCTCATTTAAAAAATAAAAATAAAAATAAAAATTTAAAAAGCAAATGAAAGCCGGCCAGAGGTTGAACGGCTGCTGACGCTCTGTTTGCACGCAGGTTGCAGCTCGGGCCTGTCCGCCGAGACTAAAGGCGTCTACGTGCTCTTCTTCCTGCTCAGCTTCCTCGTCCTGGCGCTAATGGGCGGTGGCCGGCCTGCTGTACCACCGACGCCACCGGGGGGGAGTTTCTGGTTCGGGGAAACTCCGCTGTCTCTCGCCCCGAACCACCAGCCGGTGGCGCGTCACCAGAATACACGATGAACCCGACCTGCCCCCGCCCCCGCCGCCCACCCGGAGCTTCAGGGAGGCCTGGCCCCAGGGGAAGGACCGCTACCCGGTCGTGGACCTGCCGCTGCTGAGCTTCAGCCCGCTGCGCCCGCCGGTCGGCTACGGGGAGCCGCGGGAGGGCGGGAAGATGTGAGCGTCTCCCGAACGGAACTCATCGGCACATCGCTGCGTTTGCTTTCTGATGCGAGTGAATTAAAGTCTCAACAAACCGCTTTTCCTTCCCATGTTTTTATTTTATTTATTTTTTTGCCCCTTTTCTGACACTAGAATCTAAATGGATTGATAATATCACTAATTATGCTGTAAATTTCCATCAATATTCGTATTGGTAGTTTTAAAATGTAGCAGTTTTGTTTAATGTTGCCGTTCTGCTAAAATGTCAGACGACGTGAACCAGAGTCTAGAATCGTTGCGCCACATTTAAATTGCTCTGGCTCAAGGGCACTCCAGCAGGACACCTGGTGACCTCATGCGCTTCAAACCGGACCCCCGGCATCGGGGAGTGTAGTCTGTGCCGGCCCACCTGGTCCGAACCCCTGTAATGGGTTTACAGCCGCTAATCCAGGGCGGCGTGCCGTCACACGGGGGTCTGCTGACCTTCCTCCTGCTTCATCACAGGTTGCTGGTTCCTTCATCCCGCCGCTCGTCATCGTCTGAACACATTTTTATACACAATTTCACTTTGTGTGCGTTATCAAGCTGGTAGACATTAGAAGAAAATCCGACGGATTCTTCTCCCAGGGGACGGTGGAGACCAAAAACTGAGCTAAAAGAGGGACTGAGGGGTACGACCATCAAGTCCAACATGTTGGGATTAATTTCTGAGAGCTGACAACCTCGTTGTAGACGTGCATGACCGTACATTTAGTATGTAAGTACATTTGTGAAAGATTGAACGCATACTTTTAACTTTGCGTAATAGCGCTCAAGTTTCGTAGCAAAACATAAGCTGCAAATGTGCATTTCTTTCATTGATGAGTAGTGACTGAAGCTGCTGATCATATTGAGACTCTTTTAATAGCGGCTATTGTTGAATTTGCTTTTGGCAGTTTTTACATTTTGGAAAGCACACCAGAGTATCTTTACCAAGTGTGTGTGTGTCTTCGTCTTCTTTGGACCAGATGTTTTCTCAGCATCTGTCCGACAGCGTTTTCCCCGGTGCTCTGAGAGGATCTTTGTCTGCAAGGACAGAATCACTGAGGAGAGCTGCTTAAGTAACAATAATGTAAAGAGATTGAATTGAATAGCGAAATAATCTTAAATCCATTTGACAGCTGTTCATACTTTATGTTGATATTTTACAAAGTAAGATGTTTTGTTCCTAATAGAATCAATACAAATATTAATAAATCCCATGAGAAGTGTTTCGCTGAGAAGTGATTTAAGAGACACGCTAGGCTCCTGCAGCACTGGGGGGGGGGGGGTGGAAGCGTTTGTGTTGGTGGGGGAACAATTCTCCACCTTTTACCCTCCTTTCCTGTGGGGGAGGCTTGAGGTCGAGGAGGTGGCTCCTTCTCTCTTCGCTCGGCCCCGTGAGCTTCGCTGCAAGGAGCATCCCCACCCATAATCCCCTGGGCTCCACCCGACTTCCGTTGTTTGCATTAACCTAATTTCAACGTGATTAGAACCCTTCCACCCACACATGAACGAGTGGATCACTGTGGACGCGTGGTGGTGATCTACCTAATGTTAAAGCATTTAAGATGCATTGCTTCTGTAACCTGAACAGGACAATTAAGTAACTGCATAAAGTACTACATAGAATGTGTAGTTACTTCCCACAGCCGTTATAAACATTGAACCAGTTAATCAGCACTGAAACAGCTGAGTTTCGTCGTTCGCTGCAGCCAATCGGATTTCATCTGAAAGTTTGCAACCGCATCCCCTAAATCAATTATTAACTCCTGCTTAAATGTTTCTTATTCCCATGTTTTCATTCAGCACCAGGTCTTTTTTTTTTTTTTAAACATCTTTAAATACTTTAAAACAAAATAGAGGAGTTGACATTTTGGAGGCTTGGTATCTTGGATCAGCTGAGACGGCGGTGCTGAGCTGGATCTCTAGCGGCCTCTTATCGGGCCCAGCAGCTCCTCCACCGGCTGCCCAATCACACTTCACACGGCGCCACTAATAGAAAAATAAATTGCCAGAGAGCCAATTTCAACACGGTGAGCCACGAGAAGAAATAAAACGATATGAACGGAGCCCGATTCCTCTGATATAATGAAGCCCATAACATCGGATAAGGTTATTAAACAGTAATGGGATTACTGACCAGCTCCTCCCGATGGGAGATGCAAGGTCAGCGTTCCTCAGCAGTTTTGTCACAACAGGCCAAACGTAGACTCACACAAACACACACACACAAAACCTGCTGAGAGCCTCCTGTAAGGAGCCATACACAGCTATTAAATGCTCGATTAGATGTAATTGTAATAGATTCTAAGGAACACAAATCATTGTCCTTCATCAAAAACCCCAACGTGACCTTTGGCGGACACATATTTCCAGCAGAACACGAGGAGCTTGTTTTGCGCGAGGACGGACCGATGTGCTGATGAGAGGCAGGTGGGCCAACAGGTGGTTGGGTTTGGTTGTGGCCGTCAGGTGATCAGCCAGTGGACGGGTGAAGGTTATCAGGTGTGCAGAGTTCCTGGAGGATCCTGAGGGACGTGAACGTGGACAAAAGACAAATAAAGACAACAGACTGGACCAAATCTCAGACCCTGTTTACACGCATATACGTTCATGCGTTTTGGCCATTTACACAAAAACTGAGGTTTTATCACGGAAAACGATCATTTCTAAAAACTCCGGCCAAAGTGGAGATTTCTCAGGTTTTTGTGTTTGCGTGTGAACTCGGTCCAACGGAGTTGTAGGTTGTCAATCGTCACAGTATGCGACTTCTTGTTGGTTTTCAGAATTCTGATTGGTTTGCATGTCTTTATTCTTCTCGTTACGCTGCCGACTACAAGTTTGGCACAGTTCTGATGGCGTCCGGGGCCGTATTTATGCGGGTTCATATAAACAGAAACCTTTTTTGAACACGGAGGGGCAGAAATATTCGTTTCTGTAAATACCCGGCTACGTGTAAATGTGGCCTTACTCCCAAGAGGATGAACCTTTAGCCATTTGATTCACGCGCACTTAAAATACGAACCACCTCAAGACTTCTTGAATCTAATGGTGGATCACGGATGAATTTACTGCGATTGCTTGCGCTTCAAACAATAATCTCCATCAGACGATTGAGAAAAAAAAACGTTTTTAGTGCCTTTAAACTGCGGTTAAGTGATTTGAGCAGGCTAACGTTAGCTAACATGCCGTGAGCGGGCTAATGTTAGCTAACATTAGCCGGCTTTCTATCGCAGACGAATTACTGGTCGTCAAAACAAACCAAAACGGTTTTAGTGCCTTTAAACCGCGGTTAAGTGATTTGAGCAGGCTAACGTTAGCTAACATGCCGTGAGCGGGCTAATGTTAGCTAACATTAGCCGGCTTTCTATCGCAGACGAATTACTGGTCGTCAAAACAAAACAAAACGGTTTTAGTGCCTTTAAACCGCGGTTAAGTGATTTGAGCAGGCTCACGTTAGCTAACATGCCCTGAGCAGGCTAACGTTAGCTAACATTAGCCGGCTTTCTATCGCAGACGAATTACTGGTCGTCAAAACAAAGTTCAAAACAAGTTATCAATGAAAATCCTCTTGATAGAGTGCTGGAAAATAAATAAAATGCATAATAATAAAATCATATAGAACGTACGGTTGTTTACCGTTCGCCCGTTCAACCTGCTCTTCACCACATTAAGCATGTGGCGCGGGAGACCGGGGGTCACCGGGAGGAGGCGGAGCGGCGCTGCCGTGAGCAGGATCATCCTACAGGGGGCAGCGCGCGGCCTCTCTCTCTCCCCGGGCTTTAATCACTCGCCTGGCACAATAGGAGAGGCATTTATAGTCATATCCCTGCAATAAAAGAGGTGTCTCTTTGTCCTTTTCCATTCAACACATTGTCACAACCCAGAGCCTTAATCCCGCAAACTGACGGACAGTTGCATCCTGGGAAAAGAGCCGCGTGCCATTGTTTGAGTCAGTCAAATCTGTTAAGCCCTAATTCTTTTGTGGGCATTTGCATACTGGGAAGTATTATTTTACTGAAGGGCCAAATCCTCCTTGTGTGTGACGCGAGGCATTTTTAGTATCATTTGTGAAGTATCTACATGCACTATTAGCGCCGCATAATACCCTCGTATAATACGCCACCATAATCTTGCAGATAAGAGTTTTTCTTTTTTCTTCTTCTTCTTCTTCTTCTAACGTGCAGCATTACGTCGGGATGAAACGCCGCGATTTCAAGTAGATTCAAACAGGCTCAAATGTCATCAGAAATGTCAAGTGGCTCTGCGGAGGCAGGATACCAGAACCGCCGCCTTTTATCGCCTTCATCAACCCGCCGCCCGATTCCTCCGTCCCGGTTGAAAGGCCCGGCCCGGCTCGGCGTAATGGGTCTGGTGCTGTAATACAGACGGTTACCTCTGACTCACCCGGCCTCTTTCTTCCTGCCTCCTTTTTTAGCCTTGCTCTTTTCCATTTCCTCCACCCCCCACCACCCACCACCACCCTCTCTCTTCACCTCCGTCCCTCTCCCGGCTCTCTTCTCATTCCCCCGACTTCCAACAGGGTTCCTCTGGCTCACCGATAAACCCTTTCTGTTATCTGTCCGAGGCGTTTTTTCGGCACAGTGTGGTTCACACATTCGCGTCCTCTGCGGGCCTTTTCTCTGGAGTCCCTTTCTGCAAAAGCCCTGATAAGATTGTCCCGTTGAGATTGGAGATGGAGAATCGAGGAGTGGCGGCGGCCTTCTGTCAAAGCAAGACTCCGACCGACCTTTCGGCTCCATGAGACTCTGCATGTCGTTGACTTTTCAGAAAGTGAAGGTGTGTCTACGCGAAGAGTTTGATCACCAGAATGAGCCTCATTGTCTTGTGCACGTTCCCAGCATGCACGGCGGGAACGCTTTGTTCCGTTGCGTCGTATCCGCGTTGCGCGCGCTTTCCTCTGTGCGTCCCTCCGTCGCGGGGGTTGACAATCAACGATTCTCGAACCGTCCGCTGTGAAGGCGGCTAACGGCACAA